GGCGCCAGCCACAGCTCTGCCCAGGCGCGAGGAACCGCGCACAAAGAGCACAAGAGGATCCCGATTTGGGAAAGAACTTAAATCCGTACTTACTTCTATCCCTATTCAAAACTGCATATAAGCACGTGCTTAAGTCTCCCTGGCTCCGTTCAGGCCTAAGTGTGTATTTACATCGTGGAGCTGCACTGGGAGGCCGAGGCTGGAGATGGGAAAAACTATTCTCCAGCCACCTTAACAGCAGCTTAATGCAAATACTCGGGGGAAATAAAAATAGCTTGGAGAAAGCTACAGTGCTCCATTAGGTCCGTTATAGACAATCTTCAAGAACAGCAGTGGTCAGCGTCAAGCTTCACCTAATCTCTCCTCCAAAACACTGGCTTTAGAGGTGAAACTATTGGGAAGTTTAAAAAAGTTATATAGCAGCATTTTAGAGGGCTTTTGTGCACGGGTACCCTTCTGCACTGCCTCTTTTCAGTACAGGAGCTGTGCCAATATCCTGAAGCATGAAATGTGCTATTCAGAAAACAAACAGACAAAAAACCCAAACAAACAAACGAACAAACAACAACAACAACAAAAAAAAACACACACACACAAAAAAAAAACAAAAACAAACCCACAAAAAAACAACCCAGCCTGTAAACAGTCCAAGGCAAGTCCTGCCTGGAGTTTTGTCAGCTACACTGAAAATTAGTCGTTAATATCAGCTGCTCTCAGCTTATTTTGCTATTTGCTGCTTCCACTTCTAACCTGATGAAGGGCTTCCTCGAAAGCTTGCCTACTTTTTCTAACTGTATCAATAGATACAATAAAACAAATCCAACACTCTTCCATTCCCCAGCCATGGTGGCCTCACAAGGTATTTCCCTGCTCTCTCAGAGGTGCTAAGGTTTTAATCAGTGGAAAAATAGATGTTCAGTTCTCCTGAAAAGCTTGAGTACTGAGATTCAGTGACAAACAGAAAACTACTTTTCTCCCCAATCCCTAAGACAATCACAAATAATTTTCCGTGTTCTTCCTACTCTAAACTATACTGCTAGAGAGTCTAATTCCTGTTTCTGCACCAAATTCATGTTAAATAAAGTGGCTTAAGACTTTTGGCTAGTGCCCAGCTGCCAATCCTCCTTGGTTTCTTTCACAAATTTAGAAAAGTTAAAGGACTAGGGGGAGGGAAATCATTCATGGGAAACGTAATAGCAATATGAAAAGAACTAAAGGAGAGGTCAGGCCCCTTATAGATCACTGAATAGAATCCAGAAGGCAACTCTTTTATATCTTTAAATAGATGTAGTACACCCCTCTTGGATGAGGCTTTTGTTGGTTGCCAAGCATTTTAAGTGTTGTAGTAAGAATATGTTATTAAAAGCGGATTTAATATTCAGAAACTCAAACTCCCTAGTTCAGAGATGCCTCATAATTCCTGGCATGTGAAATATATACAGCCTTAAGCAATCACATTTAAAAAGCAGCCTTATTCCTAAAAGTGCAAGTGTTGAAAGTGGCATAGTTTTACTACACCTAGTTAACTGCATCTTAATTCAGGGGTATAAACTTTTGTAACAAAGAAACTGGAAATGAAAAAAAGAAGTTCCTTAAATTCAGTTCATTCTCGTTTTAAAAACAAAACCCTGGCCTCATTGTCATTATCGTGGTATCAGGAGTAACTCCATAGTGAGGCGGCATTCGATTTTTCAAACAAGAATTTAAATGTCTTTGTTAGGCACGGCAGAGCTGTAAACAATGGCCAGAGCCAGGGATCAGACACAGCTGAGCCCGGGCTCACTTGCAAACAAGGTCTCCAAACTCCTCCTATTTGAAGGAAGAGACTAAAGATGATGTATACAAAAAAACATCAGAGAAGATATTGCCAATACTGAGGAGCTACCTCAAACCCTGCTAACAGAAACACACAAAAGATGTGGTAATGTATCACACAGTCTCTTATAGCAAAGGACTTGCATGATGTAAGTCTGGCACGACCCAGAAAAAACTATGAAACTCAACCAGTATTGCATGTCCAATAAGTGGTGGAACATAATAGTATATCAAGCAAGTTACCTTAAATTTAACACATGCACTCACAAGCTCCTTCAGTACAGAGTATTGTACTTCGCTATGATTTGCAGTATCTGTGCTGAAAGGTTCCCCAGACACCAGAACACAGCCTACCTTCACCCTTATTAGTTGAATCTACCTCTGCGCAATCATCTCCCGACAATTTCACAGATCCAGGTTTAATTCTTCTAGTAAAGTGCTTTTGCAAATTATCTGTCTATGTGGATCCTCCTCCCTTTTTTAAGCACACATTTGTAGTTTCCATTAAAGAATACGAAACGGTAGCTTACACGAATCCTTCTTACATCTGTCTCTCTTACTGACAGGGTGAGCAAGCAAAACACACATGCAAGGGGAAGACAGATGCACCATTAAAAAAACTGGAAGAAAAAAAAAAAACAAACCCCAAACAATATATCGCATCTCCTATAGTTTCATTCTTGTTTTCTTCCTACTACACTGTTTGCTGTCTCTGCCTCTCCCTCCCTTCATCCACACAACATTATGGAGCACTTCTCTTGCATCTCAGCTTTGCAGGAAGGAAAACACATTTCCCTTCTGGAAACATCCACCTCCACAACCTAGAGCAATTCCGATCCAGTTTCATTTTCTTTGGTGACTCCAGTCCACCAAGAAGGGACAGAATTTGGGAAAGAAGCTATGGCCTACGCTGGGGTTCAAAAATACCATATTAGCTGCTTGGAAGTTAAGCCCTGCCTGGTGCTGGCTGCAGCAAATTCCCAGCACACCACACGGGGTCCTGCCCGTGAAAACGCACTGGCTGCCCACTCGCCACACCTCGGGCTGCAGAGACGATGCTCTGAACTTATTTGAGGTAATTAACCTCCTCCCACCCACCACCGCACTGGGTGTGCATCTCCGTGGAAAACCCTCAGCAAAGTCCAGCATCCACCGCAGCCCAGAGAGGAGCCGTCCATGAGAAGCCACCTGGAGCCCCGGTGCCTGGGAAGCAGCAGGAGCGGCAGCGCGGCCGCGAAGCCACGTGCCTGCGAGCCCATAACCCCCTCCCCGTTCCTTGAACTCTGCTTCTCCGACTGTCAGCAGCGTTTGATTGAGTTGCAAGCCCCGGCGCTGCTGCAGCCGTGCCGGGATGCAGCGGGCGCGCTGGAGCCGCCGAGCCGACCTCTGGCTGTGAGCTTGCTGTAGATCTGCGAGTTCACTTCCTTGTCGCGCATGTAACATCTGATCTCCTCCGCCGCCTCTCGGATGACGGTAACAGCAAGCACAAATCCCTGAAAGGGAGCATAAGGGGCAAACAGAATGGATGAAAAGGTCAGGAAAAAAATCACATCTGCCTCTAATAAGAGCAATATTTATCAGTACCAATGCCAACAATCTGCATTTCCTTACTCCATCTTCTCTCACTAAATCATTATAGTGATATTAGGCGTTGTTGGCCAGAACTCCCAATAGCAAACGGACAACAGACTTGTTGCTTAAAAAAATATGGTTGTTTCTCAACTTTACTGTGATGCTCTGCCAGTACCTCCCAAAGAAATCTTCGTAAAGTTTATCTGAGGAGTGTAAATAACATATTTCATCTCACTTCACCAGTGAGTAACTAAGACTGAGAGGGGTTATACAAAATTCCAATCTAAGACAGGATCCCTGAAATCTCAGTACTCTCTCCACCACAGAACCATCACAGTTAGCTCACCTAATCTGGGAGATTTATTTATATAGAAATATATACAGAAATTCATATAAACCCTCTTTTATATATACAGATGTATAGATATATAATGCATGTGTATTCATGTGTACGTATACACACACTCAACCTACACAAATAAGCACTCTAAACACATAAACATGAACTACTCATAATATAATTACACATCTGTCCAATTAGGGTTTCAGTCCCACTTTTCTGCAGATATAAGCGGTCATTTCATTTCCTCTTGTCATGAGGAAGATGCCCACATCATATCCTTCATTATAATAAAAAAATAACTAAATTAATGCAAAACAATTCTTTATGGGACTAGTACCACAAAGTCTTTTTTTTTTTGTTAGGCACTATTCAGCTCAGACTCACTAAACAGTTAAAACACTCCTCATCTGTTACAGAAGAAAAATTAACTTTTTAGAATCTGTATTCTTGAAAATTGCAACCATGTACTGATTATGATTACCTCTGCCAATAAGAAACTTTTTTATTGTAAGAAGGGGGCAGGGCAACGTTAGCAACTGAGAGTTACATTAAAAATACATGAAAACGTCTGTAATTACTCCCCTACCCAAACAAAATTTTGCCAGCGGGTTGCAATTTCCAACTTTAAGTAACTTCATTTTTAGAAAGAACCTCCAAAAACCAGAAGTACAAGTTCTTAAGCTGGGCACAAGGAACTCGTGAACCTGAACTCCACAACCACCTCGGGAAAGTCTTGCTGCAGAGCATTGCTAACACTACCCAACACAGTAACAATTCAAATTCTCACATTTTTTTTAAACAAAGGAAAATTATGAAGAATGACCTAAGAACTATCAAGACTGAAGGAGAGCAGTGTATTTAGTTATTAAAATATTGAGGAACACTTCATCTGCTGGCTCTCGGAATCCTATAATTAAACTAAATAGTCCCTAATTCTAGTACATAGATTTGCATCTAAATGCATTATCTAGATTAATTAGTATCAGTCTTGAAATGCAATGTAGTATGTTGCTGCAGTATTTAAAAATGCAGACACATGAAGAGACCTAAGGATGGGCAATTATTTTTTTTAAAAATGGCTGTATTCAATTGAAAGTAAGAAGACATTAACAAAATATTTTCAGAGAAGCATTTCACTCTCCAATGTTCAGGATCGTCAGCATCTGTTTTGCACCACCATGGAAGATCTCTCATTGCCATAACCAACAAATGAAGGAAAGAATCACCATTTCTCTCTATTTAGAAGTTGCATTTGTGTGTTTAGCTAGAAATTCCTATCTGCTTTCAAAAAAAAAAAAAGCATCAAGCAGTTATTTTCAACTTATGTTTCAGCTGTTTGAAGAGTCTTCAAATAATCACCCCAAAAATATTCCCACATGTGCCGACCCACTGTGTCATCTCGTATGTCATTCCATCCCCAACACTCCTATTAGCAGCCAGTAATGAACAAAGACCTTTCTTATCCTGCTTTCTGGCAGCTCATATGCCAAATCCTAATTGCTCACCTGGCACAGACAAGTCACAACTGCCTATACAAAAGCCAGAGAGATCCTCTCCGTGCATGTATACTTTATTTATAGGACAGGATCTTACAAAACTAGCATTAGATTCATACAGCAAATGCAATACAGCACACACGAGAGAGAGAATTCAATGAGATCTTGGCTTTAATACAAACAGAATTTTAGCAGCAACGTCCTAAAGCTGCCCCTTCACTTCTTTCTGGCTTTTACGTGAGATTTCACTGTACTGAAAGTCTAAAAGGCAGGAAAAATTTCCTTTGCCCCTTCTCAGCTCGCTCATCCATGAATTTTTACCACCACCATTTCTCAAATCAGTGCATAAGTAGTGTCTTAGAAAGAGCCCTGTGCTTTTTAAAACATTTTTCAGTTGGTTTTGTGTCATTTCTTTCAAGTAAAAAGGATGTCTATCCTTGAAGATTTTCAAAACTCAGGTAGATGAGTTAAATCAACCTAAGCTTAAAGACAGCCCTGCTTTCAGCAGACAGTTGGAACAGATGTCCCACTGAACCAAAATTATTCTACAATACTATGAACTCAAGTGCAGCAGAGAAGTTACCACAGAAAAAGATAAATAAAGTTTTTACTGGGATGAAAGAAAAATAATATATAGGTACCTACATTTAAGCATTTAAGCAGTTGTAACTGTCTCATGCAGTGCATTTTAGAGATTTAAGAAGCCCATTCTATGCAACTATTCCTTTGTGTCTTTCGACAGCACTGGAGTTTCTGCTTCAAAATTGATTATTATCAATTTCCTTTGATCGCAGGTGAAACATACGGCAATCAAAAGAAAAGGGCACACAGTTTACAGGAAGGAAAGAGTATCTGCACCTTGACTGAGTGTGAATATGTGTCTATATATTTATTTTTATATGTGGGAGGTTAGTGGAGGGGGGTGTCTCCATTTTTTCATTTGTTTTTTACAATGTGGTTTAACTATGAAGCAGCCTGTTGACCTATCCCAAGGTCGCAGGTCAAACTGTTTGGCAGGGGAGCACAATTTGCCGTCATTGCACATATGGCCATTCATTAAGGACACTTTTGAAACATGCCCTTCAGTCCTTCACTGCAGTTGCCAGGCTGGTCTGGGCTCCTGCAAGCATGGATCACCCTGGGAGGGTGCAACACCCGATGCACACCCTCCATGGGCACACCCTATGTTCTGATGTTGCTCCGGTCTTCATTCATTTCTCAAGTTATTCATGAAGCCCTGCGAGAGCTCTGTGCCTGTTAACGCCCCACAGATGAAAAAATCTGAGGCAGAGTCCTCTCACATGCCTGTCAAACCTCTACAAAACAAAGCTTAAGGCCAGAACAGACATCTTTGCTACAATATCTACAGAGCTGGCTTGAACAAGTAAGCTAACAAAATTATTTAAGGTGCAAACTTACACCCTACAGAAAAGGTAGCACAAGAAATTTTGTCAAACACTGAAACTTTCTTGAATAAATAAACCTTAAATGACCTACCAGAGGAACCCAGTATGTGTAAAGTGCGCCAAGCCTCATTTCAACGACAAACTGAGAGCAGGCCAAAAGCAAGAAATAAAGGTTGAAGAAGTATTTGAACTGGTTAAATAATACCTAAAAAAAAAAGAAAAAAGAGGACGGAGGAGATTAATGGAGTTCAGAAGTTATGCATTTTGAATTAACCACTAGAAACATTTTTGCATGCTCCTCTAGTGTCTAAATGCTAACTTAGTGCAGTTTTAAAGTAGTCCTCAACACTCAGGACAGATCCATGCCTGGTTTGCTGCTGCCCTAAGGCAGCCTTTGCAGGAGGCCCACCAAACACAACCTAAACATTAATTATTTCCTCCAGCTCCAGGTTCTGGACCTGTCTACTGTAAAACCACTGAAACTGGGGAAAGTATTGGGCGGGATGATGAAAAGTGACTTTCATCACACTTACCCCAGGGAGAAACGTAAAAAAGTTGTATTTCTGATTGTTGATGACATTGCGAGGGTATCTCTGGTCTCTCTTCTCTGGATGGCCAAGCCAAACAGTACGAGGCCTTGGGTCTCTCCTCCCACAGCATCTTAAGCACTCACAACATCTATAGAAGGAAGATTAATTAATTAATAAGTTATTTTTTAACACATTTCTACGACTCACACACACACACCCCAGACCCTCTCCACCAGCCAGGCAGAACAGCTGAGCATCACTTCTTTATCTGTCACTCATCCCCTCTCAGCTGTCAATTATCCACTGCATTACGAGCATCCTAAAACCCAGAGCTTGACTTTCTGCCAAGTACAGACACTGTGCCTGCTACAGCCACTGTGCCTGCTACAGCCACTGCAGACCTGCCTTGCGGTCCACCAAGCTACGAGCAAACAGCTCATACAGTGTTGGAGCTGTTACTAAAACATCATGCAACGACGCGTTCAAAGCTGGGCAGGCCGGCAGCAATGCTAGAAATGTGTCTGCAGCAACAAAGGCTCAGGAGGCTTCTCATTTTGCTTTCAAGAAAACCATGCATGGGGAAGTATGGACCGAGCTCATCACTACACTGAGTCAGTGCCGGATGCTGGGAGAGCTTCTGCCTCCTGTGAATGAAAGGGCTTCAGGAAGCAAGGAGGTGTGGGGTACAGGCAGAAAGGTCCCCTTGCATCGATCCTGGTTTGCAGGTTTTATGCCAGAAAGCTCCCACGAGAAAAGCAGTAACAGACAGAAGCAATAATAGAAACTATTTCCTTGTTGGTGTATGGAAACTTCCTCAAACAAAAGCAGGCCTTCCCATTTGAGAACTGACTTAAATAGGAATGCATATAGGTAAAGTGGTCTTGTAGATCCTCACGAAAAGAGATGGAGACAGACAGAGATTCTCCTCTCCTTCCCTGCAACTCCTACTTCACAGAAATGTGCACCTTTTTAACAGAAGGGTTTAATATTTGCATATTTGAATTTTTGCACTTTAAAACAGTCTTGCCAAGGAATAATCATCAATAATCCTCTAAAAATGAAACATTGAGAGGAATCTGCAAATAGATACTAAATGATTACTGATTTTATTTTTACACAGTACTACAGTCATTAGTTCTGTTTACGTTAATGGCAAATTGCATATTATCCACTAATGAATAACACACATTCTCATTGACTGAGAACACATGCTGCAGATCCAGCTACGCAGTCTCAGTTTGTTAGTTCAGCTGTAGTAATTCGTATTTTCAGCTCTTGAGGTGACTGTCCCACTGCTGCGAGCTGGGGCAACCCAGACCAACACCTGGACCCAGTGCCACAAACCGAAGCTGCCAAAGAAACGGCTGGAGGAATTTAAGTTCATCCTATTTTCAATCAGACTAGTCCAAAATAACCTCTGCTCTAATTTTTTTTTTGTCTACTTTGTCAGCAGTATCTTTTCTTTATCCATTAAATATTGTCATGACTCAATTATCCAGCACAACAGTTACTTTTTATATCTTGCAAATGCCAGTTTTCCAAAAATTATTCAAAATAAAATATGAACACATCAGCATGATGATTTTTTACCTTTTCAACTCAGGCTTATATAAAAGCCACTTATTTAACACAATTTCTGGAGCCTTTTCTAAAAGTTTTATGGGAATTCAGGAAAGCCACATCAACTTCACTAAAACGGATACAGTTACTAAAGGATTCCCTCTTCTCTCTGGGGGAAATATTTAAAATCCAGGCTCTGAGATCCAAGCTAAGGAAGCTTTGAGCACCTGTATAAACCACCAATACACAACACCTCACACAAGGTACAAGGATCCCTCTTGTACCTTGAAAAAGCCTCTCTGTTCAAAATTGCATCATTGTACCCTCCCAAACCCCAAAAGGGTTTTGTTTCTGTTGTCGCTGCTTCTTACTGAAAGCCAATCTCTTCCCAATCCCTCTTGTTCCTTTAAAACCAGACCTATTGAATTTCGTTGGCATTTGGGAAAGCGAGTATCAGCAGGATTGATAACCAAAAGCTTCGGAGCTCTTACAAACATCTTTCCAGAAACCACCGCTGAGATCTGCTCTTGAATCACAGCATTCTGCCACAAAAGTTCAGTTAAATACACACCTAACCGAAAGAAATAACTATTCATGGGAGTACACAAAGCATTCGGCTCTTGAAGTCACTGTCTTGCCAGAAGATGCGTGCAGCGTGATGAAGAGTTTACAACTCACCACACAGAAGGTGCTTTCCTACCAAGATACCATTTCTTAGCATTTTATGCCCTGCTGGATGTAAATAAACAGAAAGAAGTGTTATCAGTTAAGTCAGTTCCTGAAGTAGATAAGAGGAATAAAAATCAACTTTGCTTCCAGCAGTAAAGAAAAGGTGTTGTCGTGTGACTCAGCGCTGCATGAGTAGGCATAGACATTAACTTCACAAGGCTGACTTGGGAGAGAATTTCTCACCAGCTCCTGAAACTAGACAAAAAGATTTCTTGCATAATCAAATTACTTTGACATTATTAAGCTTCAAGAAAAGTGGCAGACGAGCCCTGAAAAGGTGGATTTCCTCTAGTCTGTGCTCAAGAACAACCAAAGCCGTAAGCGTACAGGTGCCACCCAAACACAGGAGAGAAGGTTTCCTCACTCAAAGCAGCTTTCAGACTGAAATGCTAACAAGACAGCAGAGCACTACACAGCACCCACACATCGGTCCCAAAGGAACATGAAATCACAAGTTTTGGATGGTGCCAAGTAGTCTCCTACCAGCTCCATGCAAGTCAAACTCTCCATTCTAAAACCAGGATATTTGTAAGGTCCCTCAGCTTCAGCAACAATCCCAATGCTTTCACCTACACACATTTATCCCTGATGATGTAGAGGTCAACTTTATCAAAGCCTCTGGAGTTGCCAACTCTAACTTGCAAACTGTTCACTTGCTGGAAAAGAAAATTACGAAAACCTGACAGAAATAAACACAGTGGGTAATGCACACAGTTCAAAACCCTGATAGCAATGCACACCTAGATCAAACTACTGGAATAAAATAATTGGAGATGTGTTACTGTTCAAATATATAAAAGAGGCATCAGATTTCTTTAAGATTTGCAGCACCACTACTGCCATCTTTGCTTACCTTTAGACAGGGACATTGCCTGTTATTCTGCATTTGGAACATTTCTAAGACAATGGACTTCGATCTTTCAGTATTCCCTAGGCAGCACCCTAAGACCACAACTAACATAAGTATCCTAAATGTAATAGAAAAAGAGAGAGGTGAGAGAGAGGGGTGAAAAAAGGGAGAGAGGGAGGGAGGCGGAAAATGGCTTTCCATCTTTCACAATGGAGAAAACCACACAAGATCAGCCTTGATTCCATGTTTTAATGGCTTTGAATTCAGAATGACCTCTATGATAAGGTGCCAAGAAAGAGGCTTTGCCCAAGGGAGCAAAGCTGGTGTCCACACATTCCGTTTGATCACAACGTCCTTCCCAGTTAGACAGTCAGTCAGTCCTTGTAACCAGACATCTGAAACCAGTTACCTTTGTTTATTTTTTAGGTTGGGCCTCTTCTAGGGATTGTACTTAACAGCAAAAATACCTACACACCTATATCATAATATTTACAATAGGATAAGGCTCAAAAAGGGTACTACTAGAATTTAATATATTTTTTACTTCTGCTGGGAATTGTTTTCACAAAGTAAAATTCACCGATATGCTCCAAAGAACTTTACAAATATCTGGGCAGATTTTCAAACCAATAGCTAAATCTCCAAAGCAGACTTCCAGACATTTTAATAAGTTCAATGACTTAGCAGCATGATTTCTTCATGAGCATTTAAGAAAATGGCAAATGAACCCCACAAACTAATCAGAATGTTTTACCTTAAGAAGAGTGCGCTCTGCCCAGCCATTTACATAAATTATACTGCTTTTAGTCTTTTCTTTTCCAAATTGCTATGAATTCACTAGTCTGTGAATGCTAACACCTAGCACTGCAAAATTGCTTACACCTGCGTGGTTCTAAACCAGAGAGCAGCCTTCAATACTGACAGCACCTACAAAGGCAGGGAAGTAGAGGGCAATTGCACAAAGTGAAATTACCCCAAATTTAGCACACGTTCTGCAATCAAAGCCATGACCTCTTGAAGCGTTCCCACCACAAAGATACTTGTTGCTGTAAAAATTTTAATTTAAAAATGCTGTGTTACTATAAGGTTTGAGAATCAATCTAAAAACAATGCAGTTCTGAGTATAAGCAAGAAAGGGCAAGGGAGAATCTGCTGTGGAAAAAATAACAGTTTTGTGAAATTCCTGCCTGGTTAGAGTCACAGTTTTCACAACCTCCTGAATTACAAGGAAAGCAAACTGAAAACCTAATTAGACAAACAAAGAAAAACTTCCTGCCTAGCAAGTTTTTGAAGGCAATTATCAGTAGTATCAATACTCAAGTAAAGAACATCCAGCATTTCCACTCAGAAGTCTCCTATACGGCCTTTTAGCATGAGGTTTCTATGCAACAGAAAGGAATTTGTAAGAAAAAAAAAAGTTCAACCAATGAGCACAATACTACAACCAGCAATAACAGAGTTGCACATTGCAACACTTTAACTGGGGAGGTTTATCAGCACTCAGGAATCCCATTACATCATCCTCTCAAAGCTGCCTCCAGAACATGCAGTGCTGAGCAAGGAACTCACACACCTGTGGCTGAAAATCCTGAAAAAATCAGCAAATGCTCATCTTTATCCCATATACATTCAAAGATCATAAAGTGATAGAATGGTTAGGGTTGGAAGGGACCTTAAAGATCATCTAGTTCCAACCCCGCTGCGACAAGCAGGGACACGTTCCACTAGATGAGGTTGTTTAGAGCCTCATCCAACCTGGCGTTGAACATCTCCAGGGATGGAGCAGCCACAGCTCCTCTGGGCAACCTGTGCCAGTGCCTCACCACCCTTGTTGTAAAAAATTTCTTCCTTATATTCCCAAAGAGTTTTTGTTATGAAGGCACCCAGACCACCCCAGTGCTGGCACTTAACTCCCACCTATCCTGTGACCTTGTTTTTTCCTCTTGTCCCATAAACCACCCAGCAGCTGCCTGTGCTTTGGCAGGCAGGCACAGAGCAGAACCAACAATCCAAACCCCAGGCTAGCGGGAATGTTAAGCGGTGACAGTTATCTCTGCACACTAATTGTGCAAGTGCCAGCCCCCAGCTTGTTCAAATAAGTTAGAAAAGGAGCTTTTGGTAAGAACAGACATTTCTCAAACACAGAACCATGTGCTCATTCTTACAGGCAGCTGTTTATCACCCCCCAAAGATACTCCATTGCCGTATTTTTTTTTAAACTTTTCAATGATGCCTGAAACTTCATAAAGGAAGAATACATTACTAAGCTCATTAGTTCTGCTTTAAAATCCTGTATGTGACATCTGTGATCCTTACAAGGCATTTCACACAAACAGGAGCGGCTGTAATGGCAGATCTTAATAGACTAATGGCAGATTTCATCAACCTACCCAGGGTCACACGCAGATAGGACAATTTCACTGCCTGAACCCTTTTTGTCCCACATGTGCCGATGTTGCAATGTGAGTTATCACCAACCTCCACGGCTGTTTTCATTACGGCACCAGGTTGTGTTGGCACAACACGTGGTGTGACGCTGGTGAAAGCCTGGCGCTCACCAGGACTACACGGCTGCTGTGTACTCACAGGAGCCAAAGTAAAAGCCCTCAAAGCTGTTAAGGATTTGTACTGCAGGGAGAAACGGCCACACCTAGGGTGCAAAGTCCTGGGCCATGCCACTAAATATCCGACTTGAGATGCCCACGTGCTGCGATGACATGACACAACTCATGCTGAGAGCAAAAGGGAAAGCAGATGTAGAAAGAAGGGTGGTGAACCTAACAAGGCACGTTTCAGACCGTCTCCTTTTCCCTCTCTGCTCCTTTGGAAACTGAATAATCTTAACCTCGAAAAAAACATTCTGACAGATCCATTCAGTTGAGTACCAGAAACGAAGTACTCCGAGCACATACAAACAGGTGCACAAACGTGTTTTCAGATTATCCCGGCACTAATTAAATAAGAAGTCCTTTTGACTGGGGCTATCAGCTTTTTCCAGTTAACTTGCTTGTTCCTCTCTGAAAAAAATTTACAGGTATTGCATAGTTCTGTGATCTACTGTTTCTTTGGATACCATCCTTATTTTTGGATATCAAACTTCAAGACCTGGATGATAAGGAAAGGGGCTGCTTAGGCCATCACTTCACTCCAAAGTTTCCTGCCCAGGGCAAGGTCAGTGTCACTGAAGGAAGTTGGCCGTTTCTGGCAGGAGAGAGCTATTGGTATTATCAGGAATAATAAAACACTTTCCATCAGGAAATCAGAGGACTACATCCTTGAAAGGGAAAGATAGTCTAGAAAAAACAGCTGAAAGTTTACATTTCTGTTTAGAGATGCTGATAAAATTAGCATGCACTTTCCAGGACTGAGAATCACAAAGTTACAGAAGTGTGAGCAGTTTTCTATTTCTCCATTTTGTAACTGAAGCACTGAAGAACAGTATTGCAATAGTCACTGAAATAGAGTAAACTAGCAAGTCACTGTACACCATGAACTTTTAAAAATTATCTTACAGAAAGAACATGAAAAATATATGAAGACAGTTCATATGGGGAAGCTTTTACAGCATTGTGTTATTCACACTTTAAATTGTAACTGGGCAAAAATAATAATAAAAATTGAACTCATAAATCCTCAAATAAAATCAGAACCACTCAAAAGCATCTCTTTTAACGTGAACTGTACCAGAAACTTTTAGTCCTGTAAGTGATGCGGTCCTTAATCTGCACTGGGATCTACATGAATGGGGAGGTGACGAAGACCATGAAGGTCTACTATGTAACTCACTCGGGACGATATTTGTTTACAAAAATGCATTCTTAGTGATGACGTAAGAAGCAGTAATGTGACAGATTGACTGTCAGATGCCAGATGAACAGCCATTACCAAGAAGCAGTTTTTTTTTTATAAATGCAGCATGTTCGATGGATAACTATTTGAGAGCAAATGAAAAATGCTTTCATAAGCATTTTTCATGTAAAACAAACCTAATGGGAAAAAGGTGTCACATTTGTCTAATACTGGGGTAGTATTTGTCAAATTAGTGCTGACGTTTATCAACGTATTTAATCAGTTCTACAACAAGTACATTTCTCAGATGATGTTTCTATGTTTCTCACAGGCTGTGCTGTTAAGTCCTGGGCACATTTAATACACAAGCCAACCTTCCACATCTCATTATTTTAAAAGCACATAAAGAATTTTCCATTGATAAAAAAACATCAGAGCCACACACAACCACCTAGCCTTTTTATGCACCTCCACATGATTCAAACATTCCCTCATTTCAGACCACAGTGGGGTGGCTCAGGAAGGGGCCAGGAGTGCTGCTATTCCTGCAGCCCACCCCTGCCCATCCACCAAGCGCCGCGGTGCAAACAGCTCGGCTGTGGGAAGCAGCCCGGCTCCGCACGCGCCGAGGCACACCCACGCGCAGGCACACCGAGGGCAGGAGCTCCCATCTCCCTCTGTTGACTTTGAAATGGAATTTGCCATTTTAAATAGAGCCAAAGAATACACACACACGTACAATGGAACGGCTGCATGAAACGTTACTGTAGAGCTCCTCCTTCCCTGTCTTGTTCCCCATTCTTCCCCCTCTCCCATTTCTACATTAAGGCCTTTCTACATTGCACAGGCAGCATGAGCACAGCAGTTTGCCAGATCCAAAAAAAAATGCCTTGCAGGATTGTGGACTGAGACCATAAGCTATTTAGGGACATACTTGTGTCATGCACTGAACGGAGCATCTGGGGTGCTTCAGGAACTTGCAGCTCCCTTCCCGGCAATGCTCAGCCCCTGGAAAGC